CGTGCGGAAGGATATTGAATTTTCAATCTTTTTCCGTGCCTGGCGGTCCGTCGCGGGCATCTTTGTCGCCCAGGGCCGTGGCTCGCGCCGCTCGCGCCCTGTCTGGTCCACCTTCTTCTCTCCGCGTGGAGTCGACGCCGCCGGGGGGAGCTTTCGACTCGAAAGCTTCGAGGGCGGGGGGTCGCCGCGTAGAGGTGGCCAGCGAGGCGGTCGCCGTCGTCCGCTGGCTGCCCGGGCGGGGCGGCCTGTTCCCAGGCGCCCATTCGTGGCTCCGCGGATTCGCGCCGGGTGGGCCCGACGAGATGGGCGATCCTTTAGTTTGCCTCCGCCAGGCTCTCCAGCAGTGCCGGCGCCCGCGTCGAACGGGCGGCGCGTGCCCTGTGGACAGTCCCACCGGGCAGCCTCCTTGTGAGAGCCGTCGCCCCTGCAGACCGCTTGGAAGACGGCGGGGGCTCCTCGCCGCCCCGGGCGCCGAGCTGAGGGGCGGCGCCGCCCGGCGACGCGGGCCCGCCGCAGCCGCGGCCGTCCTCGACCTGTGGCGCGCGACCTCGGACGGCGAGGCTCTCCCCCCCGTGGGGTGGGGGGGCGCCGGGGTGCCGCGGGAGCTGCCTCGTGCTTTCGCGCGCGTGGTTCCCGTGGCGCACCTTCTTGGGCGGTCTCGCCGGCCCGGCGCTGGGGGGCCGCGGGCGGCGTCGGCGATCGCCGGGTTGGAAGGTCCGCGAGCCGTTTGGCTGGATCGGGCTTCAGTGTGGTGGCTCTTTCCATTCGGGGGTCGAGGCCGCCGCGCGCGTCGCCCGCGGTGCCGGCGCTCCCTGGTCCCCTGCGTGCGGGGGCGCGGCCGCCGGGCCAGCTGTCGAGTTCGATGGCCGGGGGCGGCGCGCCCCGCAAAATTTCGCCTCGCGGCGGAAGCGGGCGACCCGCGTCGCCGCGAGCCTGGCGGCGAGGAAGTGCGGTGCAGGTGTTGCCCCTGGGTTGCTTCCGTGGTGCGCGTGTGGCCTCTGCGTTCGTTTTGCTGAGGCCGCGCCGGCCGCCGCGTCGCCGCCCCCGCGGCGTCCCCCCCTGCCCTCGCGGCCCGCGCGCTATCTTCGCGCGCGATGTTCACCGCGCTGCCCCCTGCTTGGATCGACGATCGAAGTCGGTCGGCGCCCTCGAGCTGCGGGTCGTAGGTCGCAGAGTGCTCGCGTATCGCACCTGCGTTTCTGCGTCGCAGTGGGCGCTTGCTGGCGCGGCTTCCCGCCGTCTTCGGCGCTCGTTTTTTTTTTTTTTTCCTTTCCTTCGACGCGGGCCCCCCGCGACATTCGTCTGCGCGCGCAATCTCTGGCCTTCAGGCGGCGCGCCCCCACCTGCGCGCCTTCCTCTCGGAGGGCTGTGGTGTCGCCGAGCAGTGGAAGTTGGCCGGGCCTCCTCAGCTCTGCCCCCCGTTGCCCCGCGCACTGTTGCGTGCAATGATTTGCCGCGGTCAGCTCTCGGGCTGGCCGCTGATGGCGGCGCTGCTGCTCGGGGATTTCACCGCGTTCCGTAGACCTGGGGGGCTTGTGGCGGCTCGTCGTCGTGACCCCCTGGCGATCGGCTTGACTCTGGCGGCGGCGCCATCTTCCCCGTGCTTGAGCCGGAGGCCCGTCGGACCGATCCGACCCTGCGTGCTCGCTGCTCGCGCGGGTTCGCCGTGGATCTGTTGGAGCAGGTGTTTCAGCGTCTGTTTCCCGCCGATCCGCCCGCGCCGTTTCCGTCTTCGGTGGAGCAACTTGTTCTCGGCTCCGGGCGCCCCACTTGCCGATGCGATTCCAGGGTTGAATGTTGCGCTTGCCTGCCTGCGGGTTCCTGTGGCGATTGACTCTTGCGCGGCCGCGGAAGACGCGCCGCGCGTCTTCCGGCGTGGGTCGCCGAACCAAGCCTTGCGCGGAACGCTATTTGCAGGCTGCCGCTTCCTCGCCAGTTTTACCCGCTCTCCTTGCGCCCGCGCGAGCACGCGTTGTCTTTTGCGCCGCTGCTAGCGACCGCTCGGTCGTTTCTTTCCTTTTGGCCGGCCCCTCTGCGCGGTCAAGTCCAGTCGCGGCCGCCGGCCGAAACCTGGTCATTGCGCAGGGTTTTGAGAGCGGGCGCGGCTGTGTCGCCGACTGCGGCGACCGTTGGCGGCCTCGTCCGTCTGAGCGGTGCCGCGCTGCCCGCGCGCGCGCGGCGGCGCTGAGCGCGCTCGGTGGCCCCCGCGCGCGCTCGCTGCGCCGACCGCCCGGAGACCGCTCGCTGCGCCGACCGCCCGGAGACCGCCCGGGCGCGGGAGAATGCCTCGCTGCGTTATCTTCGCCTCCTGCGCTCTCGCGGTCCCCGCAGCTTCTCGGCCCCCGCCTCCCCCCCCTACCCTTTTCCAGGTTGACCTGCGGCGCTGCTGCGTCGCTGGCCACGGCGACCAGACGGCCTCGCCAATCTGCGCGGCGCCGCGCGGCCCGCGCGCGCGGCGGCCACGAGCGTGCCCAGGGGCCCTCGCGCGCGCCAGCCGCGCCGACCGCCCGGAGACCGCTCGCTTGCGCCGAGTGCGGGGGACTGTTCTGACAAGCGGGCCTGCGCGCCCAGCAGTGTGCTGCTCCCCCGCCGCCGACCCTGTCACCGACAAACAATGCAGAAGTGATCGCGAATGGCCCGCGTGTGGTCCAAGATTCTGCCGCGACGTGTGATGTGTATTGTTCTGTGTCAAGGATGGTTGTGGTGCGGCGGGTGGTCGGCGTTGTCTCGGGTCGGTTGCTGGTCGCGTGGGGGAGGGGGTGCTTGCGGGTAAGCCCATTCAGGAGGGAGGAATAGAGATCGAATTGTAAGAGACTCTCGAAACCACCAGTGCCTGGAGGGCTGGTGTGATTTCCGTCCGCGCCCGCATGCTTCGGTCTGCGACGCCGCATTTCGATTGGTGGCCGCGCCGCGTATGGTTCCTATGGGCAAGGCGCGTTCCCTGCGGAATCGTTGTGGATAGTTCAGGACAAGGGCGATGCGGTGCAGGGAGACGGGTGGCTTTGTCGTTCAGATTTTTTTGCATCCTTGCTCGTCATCCTCATCCTCGTGCTTCTCCTCCTCGTTTTTCCTCTTCCCCGTCCTCCCCCTCATCATCCACTCTCCTCCAGCGTCCTTCACCCTCCTCAGGCCCCTCCTTCCCCCCCATAACGAGTCATTTGCTTAGCAGAGAACGGGCGGCAAGAGCACCATACCCGCTTTGCACACAAATTTATTTCACTCCCACCGTAGAGTTCTCTTCCAGTGCGACCGCGACAGAGCATGTCCTTGGCGGTCCTGGCGGCGTACTTTGGCAAGCCGGAGCCGACTCCGGCCTTCGGATAGCAGCAATTGTGCACCACCGATCTTGGCCAGGCCGCTCATGAGCCCAGGATCGGCGTATTTGCCTTCTCGCCAAACCGTGAGGGCGTATGCGTCGATCCTGCAATTGTCTGCGAAATCAAGCGCAATTTTTTCCAACCTCCTTTGTGCCTCCATTTCAATGTTCAGCATCGCGCGCACCGCTGGGTCCGAGCAAGAATCGAAGTTGAACATCGAAATTAGGGGTCCAAGCGTGCTTCTTCGGCCTGCGAGAAACTCGCGCTTGTTTTCGCGGAGTGTTGTGGGCATGGGGTGGGCCTGGCCACAATCGGTGCGTGTCTAGTTGGCGCCCTCCCAGGCCCGCCCCAGCCGCGCCGCCGAAGACGCCTGCCTGGCGGCCCGCCGCGCCCGCGCGGGGCGCCCGGCCGACGACTCGCAGAGGCTTGCCGTCGCGATGGTCCGGGGCGTGGCCGCCATCCCCGCGGGTCGCGAGCGGGCCAGGCAGGGGGATGCTTTTCTTCAGACTCAGGCAAGTTCACTTCCAGGGCATCCCCCCTTGCCCCTGCGCCGCCTTCTCAGACAACGCTGGGCCCAAGAGGCGTGCAAGTGAGTCCCGACTCTCGTAAAGTGAAGATTTCCTCGAGGGCCCCGCCATGCCACCCCCCCCTCCCCCCATCATGCAAGTAAGCCTTCTGGAGCCTGAAATAAAGCCGCTACTGTGGACTGGTTAATTATTCGCTGGCGTCGGCCTGGGTCTCTCGGACGGGGCTAGGAAGAGAATCAATCCGTTCCAGAGCGTTCTGGAACGCTGCCAGAGCGTTCCGGAACGCTCTGAGAAGGCTGCGGCGCCCGAGACATCCTCCAGAGCCGCCGGATCTCAGAGATTCCCAACGGATCCTCACCCGATTTTATCCTCGTCCTGGCTTCCCCTCGGCCGGAGCCGGGCGCGGCGGTTCGGTTTCGATTCGCCTCGGGGCGGTTCGCGGGCGATGCGATCCGTTTCCGTCTCGATCCGACGTCGTGATTCGATGCAGCCCAGCCCTGCCAGGGAGTGTGCGGCGCGGCGCGCCGAGCTCGCCCAGGGCATCGCGTCGGTGCTGCGCGCGCTCGAGGCCGTGGAGAAGGCGCTGCGCGCCCCGGAGGCGCTGTGGGCGGGCTCCAGCGTCAGGGGCAACGTTAGGGCGGGGCAGGCTCCGTCGGGTGTTGCTACAAGCGCCCCTGGCCCAAGGTGGTGCCCCCAGGATTCCCAAGGAAGCCCCCACGGCCTTCAGAGCACCCTTCTTGAGGCCCAGAGGGCACCAGGGGCCCTAAGATTGAGTGAAAAGCTGGGGGCACCTTGGGCGGGGGGCAACTTTAGCAACCCCCTGACTCAGGGGGAAACACGATTTCATCGGTTCTTGGCGGCTTTCCAGCCTCGGGGTGGCTTCAGCAGCCGCGCTTCGCCGAGGGAGTTCCGGAGGTGCCAAGATCGTCCCTGACGGCTGCTCGAGAGCCGAGTTATGGCCCGTCGCCCACTGATCGCCGGTAGAGGCTTGATAGTCCACTCCGCCCAGGACTGTGCGGATCCGCTATGGGGGGCCTATCGCCAATCTGTCGGCGAAATACCGTCGATTCCGCGTAGATATTTGCCCCCCCTGAGTTGGTCCCCCCTTAACGTTGCCCCTCACAGCGGCGAGCCCTCGTCCGAGCTCCGCCGCCACATGAAGTGCCTTCGGTGGGCAGGGAACATGACCAACGCCCTGCAGACGGCTGCCAGAACGCTGAGGACGCTCGACTCGTTCAACACCCCAGAGCGGGAGTACTCTGAGCTCGCCGAGCAGCTGAGCATCATCAAGGAGGCCCTCCGAGACTTCTGGGGCGTAACGCTGGACTCGTGCAGCACGGCCCTGCGGCGACTAGAGCAGGTGGACAAGCTGGAGGCGCTGTCGGAGACCTGCAGCACGGCGTCTGGCTGCGCCTCCGAGGCGTCAAGCGAGGCGGACTGCGACAGCCCCAGGGGCTGCAGAAGCTGCGAGGCGCCTTCCGCGTCACCAGATCTCGCCGACGAGATCTGCAAGGGCGGGAGGCCGTGCTCACCGAGCGGCGCGTGGACCGCCCTCATGCATTGGGCGTGACGGGCGCCCCGAGGTCGTCCGACGCGCTCTGTCGTTCTTCGCGGGCGACGCCGCGTCGCATGCGTCGCCCTGGACGTGGGCGTGTGCGGTGTGTGTGTGTGTGTGTGTGTGTGTGGCAACAGTAGGCACATCAAAGAAGACATTGGCTTGCCAGCCTGTGCCCAACGGCCCCAGGGACGCGCAGAAGGCCTGGGACAACTCAGGACCCCCAAAGTTTCGACCGAAACATAATAGACACCACCCCACCTACGGCCCTCCATGTTGCGCTATGGCCAATCGGGGGGCGTAGCGTACACCACGCAGACACCCCTGCCAGATTTCCGGGCATACGCTTAAGCCCCTTGGCGCCGCAGGTGGGGTGGTGCCGCTTGTTTCCTGGCCTCAAAGCTGCACGAGCAGTGTGCCCGACGACTTCTCGTGGCATGCCTTCTTCATCGTACGTGTCTACCGCATGGGCCATCGCGGGGGGGGGGGCGGCGGAGGCAGGGGCACCGACGGGCGAGCAACCCAAACCAAAGGGACTCGGCCGCGCGGACCTCCGCGCGCCAGCTGCCCGCGCGAGCTCGGGCGCAGGGCGCCCGCCTCCTCCGCGCGCGGCGCGCTGCTCGGGCGGCCCGCGCCGGCGGCTCGCCCGGAGTCGCCACGTCTGGGGCAGGGTGGGCTCCTTCGGGGGCGGAAAAGAGGGGGGTGATGACTAGGGGGGGGTGGATATCATGGCGGGGGCCATGATATTTCCCCAGATTTCAGGGCGCCTCTTCTTATTTCAGTACGTCCCTGGCCCCCCGGCTGGGCCGCGCACATGCCGCCGATGATTTACACCCCCCCCCTCTTGGACACCCCCCTCTTGGCCGCTCCCGACTCCTGCGGCGGTGGCGCGCCGGCGACGAGGGCGACGGTGTTCAAAGGTGGAGCTCCACATGTTTCAAGCAGTGGCGAAGCGTCCTGGTTCGCCGATGGCCCCACCAAACACTGTTCCAAGAACCTTTTGTGGTTCCCACGAAGTGTGCTTAGAGCATTTCTGGTTGAGATGGTCTTGTGTTGGCACATCGGGTTTATGTTCTAAGAACAGTGCTGTTGTTCTTAAAACATTGTTGGGTTCTACGAACAATTTGTGGTAGGACTATAGGAATGCCGGGACGGTCGGTCCCTGCTCAAATGGTGAGGGGAACGAACATTGACATAAACAGAAGAATTCCGAGGTCCGCGCGGATTTCTCGGCGCCGCCTTTGGCGCGCTCCGCGCGCCAGGGAGGAGGGTCCAGCGCCGATCGGAGAAATCCGCGCGGACCTCCGAGTTTTTCTGTTTATGTCATTGTTCGATCCACCTAATGGCAGAAGGGCGCGGAGGCACCGAGGGGCACAGCAACGCCACAGGACCCGACGGAATTCAGCCTTGAACGATCGGGGCCGCGATCGGTTCGAGATTGAACGATCGACGCGGCGTCAAGAAGCTTCGCGCGCGCCGAGGCCGCGCGAACCTATCGTACCCTTGCGTGGTGCCCTCCAAAGGAGTCCTCGCCCTCGAGGGTCGAAGGAGCTGGCACCTCTTCCTCGGCGGAGGGCGGCGGCAGGTCGGCGGACGGCCGCGGAAGTAAGATTCAGTCGGGCCTGTCCCTCTACAGCGGGAATATCCAAGAAAAGTCCCAAAATAGTTTGGGGACTATTTTTGGACCATTTTGGAGCATGCTTGGGGTATTTTCGGGGTATTTTTCATTGTTCGCCCAACGTCCCCCTGTCGGGGGACACGCCCGACTTACAAGTCAAACGAGGCTACTTCCGCCGGCAGAAGGCCGACGGACGCCGGCGTGAACGAAATCTGCACCCCCAGGGGATGGCAACATTTCCGGGTTCAGGGTTTCCAGAATCCGCCGCGTCGGCACGGGCTGGGCGAGGGACCCGTCGCTCATGGAGCCTCTCGGGCGGCCACGCCCGCCTGGGGTTGCTCGGTCGTCGAATGGCAGCAGTGGGTCTTTAAACACTTCGCCTTTGAACTGAGGTTTTGGCATTTGAAACACTATCAACCCCGTTTTTCGGCGAACGCGCAGATGCCGCGCCTGGTGTACAGCGAAATTATGCATCTAGTTGAAGGGAGTTATTGCAGCATCGAGCCCTCTTTGGCCATTTGAACGGACATATTCATGTCTCGTGCTGCAATGATGTGACTCCAGCTATGCCTACCAAGTGGAGTTTCGCCCAACACATTCCATGCTCGCGCCTGCAGATTCAAAGTGGTGCTGCCAGCGACCGAACACGCGGGCGACGCCGACAATGAGTCGTGCGTGAACGCAACCGCGACTGGGAGTCCTGTCAGTGCAATCCTTGCTTAGCGCGAGGCTTCAAGCCCTTATGGGCCATTTGAACGAATATTGCAGTGCTTTTTGCTGTTTTTTCTGGTTCAGGGAATGCCTTTAAAAGGAAGGCACCATTACGGAGCCACCTGTCGAGGCTCGGCACAAGCCTTGGTCTTCGTCCGTTTGCTGCGCGGCAAGAGACTGTAGGAGTGAGCGACGCCGGCAGGGAGCCCAGCTGTAATGCAGCGGAAACTCTTTTCAGCACAATCCTTTTGCGTATCGGGGGAGCGTAAGACCTGGGTTTGCCAGGACTCGGGTTCGCCATCGTTTTTTGACGACCGCGACTCGGATTTTGACGAGGATGAGTTTCGTGGGATGTCTGCAGCGGGAGGCCTCGTCAAAATGCAGGCTCGGCCTCGTCATTTTTTTGACGACCTCGTCGGGGATTTCCGAGTCCCCTGTACCCGGATCTTACGCCCCCCTGAGTGTAGTGAGGTGCCCTGCTGCTGTTCTTCCTCCTCTGCCCCCCTATCTGTCCTCCTCTTCCTTCTCCTTGGCCCGCTGGTCGCCTCGCGAAGCTCGGAGAGCCTGCCGAGGAGCTGGGCCAGCACAGCACGGCGTGGAGCAGGTCAGGAGGAGGCCCCGTCCGGAGAGGAGTTGGGGCCAGAGCTGACCTCTCCACCGCGTGCCCCATCCGCGGAGTCGCGGGCACGCCTCCTCGCCAGAGCTGTCCTCTCATTCGGCTGCTGCGCACAGAAACAGAGACAGAGAGAGAGAGAGCCGTCCTCGGCCTGCCCGTCGAGGAGCCTCCTCGGGGTGGCTCAGGGATCCGGCCCTGGCAGGCTCAAGCTGTTGCCGCAGCTGTATCCAGCGATCGGAGTGCTTGGCACACTCGAGCCCTCTGGCCTCCTCTCCGCATCCTCGTTAAAACATGTTTTGCTCTGGAGTTCACTCTGGCATCCTGGGAGCACCTTGGCACCTTCTGGGGGGCATGCTGGGGGCGTGTCCGAGCCGTGGGTCTTGCGGCAGGCTTGGGGGGTCTCGCTGTCTTGGAGCCGTCTTTGGCTGCCGTGGAGCCTTCTCGGGCCGGTCTTGGACCAGCTTGAATCTGCAGTGGGCTGCCTTCTGCCCGTCTTGGGGCCATCCATCAAACTTGCTCCTCGGACCGCCTGGACGCCGTCTGCAGCGACCCGAGGTAAGCTGTCAAGAGGCCTCTTCGTGTCAGCCTGAGGGTGTTCCGGCCCCAGGGCCAGAAAGGGTGCTCGAGCGCCCGTCACCGACAAGCTGAGTGTTGGGCTGGGGACGTCCCCGCAGTTCCTGCTTTCGGAGTGCAACATTCAGGAGGGAAAAACACACAGACACAATCATCGTCGACTCCCCAGAAAATATAGGAAAATATGGGAAGTGGGGGAAGACAGGAACCCAGAAAAGTTGAGAAAATATGGGGAATCCTGATATTTGTGTGTGTGTGTGTATTTGTTTGTGTGTCCCAGGGCCCCTTCAGAAGTCCCCGCAGTTCCTGCATGCGGAGTGCAACGCCCTGGCTGGCCAGAGACGCCGGGGGGCTCCCGCAACGGTGCGCCGGCATGGTGCGAGGCATCCTGCGAGTGGGGTCGGCAGCGCGCCCAGGTGGGGCAATGCGAAGGAGCAGGCCTTATCAGAAGCCCTCCGGCCTTGCGAGAAGTGTTTCGCGTCTTCGGAGGAGGCTTGGAGCATTCCGAGCCTTCCGGAAAGGCCCGCCCCTTCTCACTTCTCCCGGGCTCGCCGCCGACTGAAGGGAGGCAAGGCACATGACTTTCGACCTCCAGGGGGCCTCCTGGAAGTCTCGTGGGCGCCTCCTCGGGGCCTCTTCCTGGCCGTGCCTTATGGGTCTTCAGGCCAGCCCTGCGCGTCTTGGGGCTGTCGGCTGTGGGGGCGGGTTTGGCGCAGTCTTTGGGCCCCCTTGGGCAGTCTTGGAGCCGTCGTGCGCCGGATCAGTCTCTGGAGGGGTGCTCCCGCCCAACCGGAGGTGGCGTTCCGCGCAGCCTGGCGACGCCGGGCAGATCGGGCGATATAGTAGACACATGCGGTAAGAGTTATTATTTTCAAACTTAGGCAACATTGAGGGCCACCTTGAGAAACATTCACCAGCATGTGGTAAGCATCATCACTACTCGAGAGCTGACAAGTCACAAGTGCCCCACTGCCACGCCGCAGAGCATGACCCCACAATGGGTGGTATGCAGTCCCCCCGAGGAGGACTGAGACCCGGGCTCCGAGACGCAACCCCCCCTCTCGTTCTGGCGACTCCTGGCCAGGCGCAGGCCAAAAACATTACAGTATCTGATTCTACTGAGGAAGCGGTGCCAGAATTCGGACAGACTCTCTCAGCCCCTCGGCGACTAGATGATTGAACCAGGGCTGGACCTAAACGGTGTTTTGGCGATTTCCTGGGCCGTTTTCGTTTCGATTTCGTTTTGTTGTAAAGGCGAATCGAAGACAAAACGAGGGAAAACGAAAACACAACGAAAACGACAAACACCGTTTAGGTTCAGCCCTGCCCTAAGCCGCTCCATGCGCTTACTGTGATCTTCGCCTCGCGGGCGCAGAACAGAGGGCGCGCGCACACCATATCCCAGGTGCCTCCAGGACCTACGAGCGAGGAGGAGGAGGAGGAGGAGGAGGAGGAGGAGGAGGAGGACCTGCGAGCAGTTCAGTCTCGTCGTCATCCCACTCGACTGCGCTCAAGGCCCGCTGCCCGACGGGGAGCCTCTCCACGCGAGGCAGATTGGTGATGCCGTCCGCGGCCCCAGCGTCCTCGTGGGCGTCCACGAGCGCCACGCCGAAAGCCGGAAGCCGGAGCACATCCGCATGGGCGTGAGAAGCTCTCGATTAGACGTAAGAATTCAGGAGGAAATGAAACACACAGACACAATTAATCGTCGACTCCCCAGAAAATATGGGAAAATATGGGAAGTGGGGGGGAAGACAGAAACCCAGAAAATATGGGAAAATATGGGGAATCCTTTGATTTGTGTGTATTTATTTGTGTGTTCCGGGGCCCCTTCAAGAATGAGCTTTCGCCGGAGTGACCTTTGGTGCGGGCACAGATGGGCCCTCAGATGGCTGAAAACGAAGCGGCAGCAGGGGCTTGCGCGCCCAGGTTTGGTCTCCCCGGGGCCCCCAAAGAGCCGCGCACCAAAGGTCACTCTTACCCAGGGTCACTCTTGCGTGTAGCCGAAACTCTTGAGAGTCTCGTCAACGTAAGCGATGGGCAGCCATCCGTGCAAGGGGGGCCTCATCATGTCCCGAAATGTGATGGCTACCTCCGACACCGTGTCATATGACCGCCGCGATAGGCAGCACGCATCCAAGCTCACAGAAGCAGTGCGTCCTGCTTCAACCAGTGTCAACGGTGCAGTGCTCGGACCACAGGGGCAACGCAACCAATACCCACCATGGGTAGAACAGCGAGACGATGAAGCAGAAGTACTTCACGAGGTACCTTGACGGGGGCGGAGGAGCGGAAGGAGATGTGCACTCGCTTGCATCCGCTCCGCACGCCCTGCAGCCAGCGGCCCGCGGCGCTAGTGGCGGCGCGCGCTCGAGTCACGTGCCCGCGAGCGTCGAGGGGCCACACATGCCAGCGAGCGGCCCGCGCACGGGGCCAGGCAAATGGCCGCCGTCATCGAGGTGGCGCTGCGGCGAGTGATCTCATCGCAACCCGGCGAGAATTACCCCAAGGCCGTAGGGCCTCCAGCCCGAGCAAGAATGGCTTTACACGATAAAGAACCTCGCTGTCAGAAATCTATCAGGTGCGGGAGTTTATCCATAACCACTGCCTGCAGGATCGAGCTTCAGGGACCCCGGCAGGCGGTGGATATGGATGTATTCGGGCCCTAGGGTGGCAACATATATCCATCCTTCTCACCAGACCAGAACTGGGATAATATGAAGATACTAGCTGGGAAGCATCGCCAATTACGAATGATGAGGCCCGAGCTATACAAACATGTACGAGCTGGGGCACATCACGTCGGGTTTGGCAGGAGTTCAGTGACACGGCCAAGGTTCAGTAGCACGTGACATTTGCAATGACTACCTGAGGCGAAGCCTGAATCCAGATGAAATGATTACGTTGGGTTTGGCGGGAATTCGGTGACACGGCCCAGGTTCCAGGAGTACCCCCTTCCAGGAGTGCCCTCCAGACCAGAGAAACTGGAATTATATGTAGATGCTACCTGGGAAGCATCGCCACTCAAGAAGAGTGAGGCCCGAGCTATGCAGACGCGTGAGGGCTGTGATGCCGCGAAGGCCCACACCCCGTCCCCAGCACCAGAAAGCTGTTCCAATCGGGTTGAGGAGGGAGGGGGGCGACCACAGTGGAGGAGATAGCTAACAGAAGGACGCGGGATATGGCTCGGCTGGTCCAGAACATTCTTGATGGGTCTTTGCCTTTAAGGGCCTGGTGGAAATTTCCGGTGCGCCGACATGCTTTTTTGTGCATCGGCGCCCTCACGATTCCATGCCGTGCAGTGTGCCTACCAAGCGGATACATTTTCTCCAGAACCTTCCAAACATACAGCTGGTTAAGAATAACAGATCCAGCGTTTCTCTCAAGGTTTGGATAACGAAGAACTTCGACACTTGTGGCATGCACGAGCCAGAGAACACACACAATCCGAATGAGCCTGCTAGCGGATGTCATTCGCTGCTGTTGCTTCTTATTGAGATCTGAGAGACCGTAGAGTTCGGCGTCGACTCGCGCCGATTAGCGTCTGGGAGTTGATGAGATAGCGTCGATTTAACATCAGTTAGCGCCGATTGGCGTAGAATAGCGTCGATTCGCAAGAGCCGACAAGATGAGATGGGATGCTCCCACGAGTTGCCACCTAACATTCGGACGATCTGTGTCAGCAGGGAGGGTTTTGAACGGGATCCCGAACCAAGCGAACAAGAAGCGGCGGCCCCGCAACTCATCGCGAACCCCCTGCACCACAGCGGGCCTGAGGAGGTCAGCGTCGGGCCCGTCGACGACGCAGGCATGTGTGGGGACTCCAGGTCGCGCCAGTGCCCGCGCCGGGGTGCCTCTGCCGCCGCGGCGGCGCTACAAGAGGCGCGTCGATGAAGAGACCAGCCTGGCAGCAGATGCCCCACGGAAGGTTCTTACCCCACAATTGCCCTGGGGGGCCACAGAAGCCTTGGGGCACCTCTGGAAGCTCAAAGCTCGACGACAAACGTGCCCCCGGATGTCTTAGAGCAAGACCTCTCTCTTACCGCGATCTCTTGGCGTGCGTGTCTACGGTTGACTCGAAGCGGTGGCCAGGCTGTGTCCAGGAAATGGCCTCGGCTCTGTCGGTACAGGGCAGCAGATTTGTGCCTGCCCCCCTCGTGTGCGGAGAGGGCAAGCAGCGGGGGGCCGCGAGGAGGCCGACGACTTCGGCGGCACGTGGACGGATGAGAAGGAGCCCGGCAGGCGCGTGCGGCGAATCTTCGCGGCTCTCGTTGCTGCTCTGCCCTCTCCTCCGAGTGGCGCGCAGGTGCGCGGGCATCCGGCAGCGAGGCCGATTGTGGAGCGGAGCGGACGTTCCGTGGGCAAATGGCAACCAAAGTGTACGTGGCGCGTGCGGCTCTCGAGAAGGGGAGGGTAAGGGTTGGAGCCGAGGTCACGTCGCTCGCCTGCATCGCGTCGTTCTTCTGGCGGAAGCCGGCAGCGGGTCCATGGAAGTTGGCGGAAACGAGTGAAGAGTGGTTCCTCGCCGCCAGATGCTCATGCCAAGATTGCCCGAGACGTCGATCGCTCAATTGGAGAGTGTAGGGACACGCGTCCTTGCTTTGCCGTTTTCATTGAATCTCGCTCAGCCCAGCAGCCGATGCAGCGTTGCTTGCGCTTCCTGCTGCCCGTCCTACCATTTTTGGCTTGCCGGATTTCCGAAGGGCTGCCCCGTTGACTGTGTAAGTGCAGGGGAGTTGCCCGACTCCGCTGGGATGCAGAAGTTAGTTTTTTTCTCACTGTGAAAAAACATGTGCACCTGGCTGGCGCGTGTCATTGTGCGGCTGTTTGTGTGCCCTGGCCTTACTGGCGTTCTACACGGGATTCCAGCAGGCTTGCGCTTTGACGTGCTTAGCTGCAGTGCAAACCATTTGTTGCAACCTGTGTGGTGTAATCTATGGAATGCAGCATGCGATGCAACATACCCGTTGCAGCATGTGCGGTGGAATATCGTAGGAGGTGCAATCTATGAGTTGTAGTTCACTTTGGCTGTCTTGAAGCTGTTCTCTCCACTGCGCGTGCAAACATCCCACCCTCCCATCCGCAACCTGGCTGCAAGACCTCTTAAGACCGTGACGGTAGGCACCAAATGGCACTTGGCAACGACACCGACGACGACACCGACACCGACGACGACGACGCCGACGACGATTACGACACCGACACCGACGACGACTCCGACGACATCAACGACGACGACAACGGCGACGACGACGACACCGACGACGACGACGACGACGCCGACGACGACGACGACGACGACGGCGCCGACGACGCCAACGACGACGACAACGACCACGACGACGGCGCCGACGACGACGACGACGACGAGAAGGATTTCAGCATCCGCGCGCGGTGGCCGCGCGCATGAGCCCCGCACGGTGTTTTTTTACAAGGGACTCTGGCCCTGGCAAGCGCGCGACCGATGTTAAAGGAGTTCGATGCGCGCGCACAAGTTGTGTGCATGACCGGATATTGAAAAGCCATTGGTTGTTCGGAAAGCGCGCGCGGGTAGACATTTCGATTTGTGTCGCAGCTTTTTTCGAGGAAGTATGGTACGATCCGTGTGATTTCATGAAACTCGGCCTTGAAATTGTTGAACACTCATTGTGTTTGGAAGGATTTCGACATGCGCGCGCGGCGGCCGCGCGCATGTGCCCCGTATGGTATTTGTTACAAGGGATCGTGGCCCTGGCAGGTGCACGACCGATGTTGAAGGCGTTCGACGCGCGCGCATCAGTTGCTCGCATGGCAGAAATATCGAACAACCATTGGTGTTTAGGGTTCGGAAAGCGCGCGCGGGTAGAACTTTCGATTTGTTTGTATATTTGTTTCGAGGATGTACGGTACGACTCGTGTGATTTCATGAAGTTCGGCCTTGAAATTGTTGAAACCACAATGTGTGTTGGAAGGATTTCGACCTGCGCGCGCGGCGGCCGCGCGCATGTGCCCGCATGGGTTGTTTTTCAAGAGATTGTGGCCCTGACAGGCGCGCGACCGTTGTTGAATGAGATCGACGTGCGCGCAAAAGTTGCCCAAGAAGCCCGATTTGACAGGAATGTTGAACAACCATTGGTTTTTGAAGGATTCGGCAAGAGCGCGCGGGCAGATTTTCCATATTTTTTGGATGAGAAAGTCGTATGTCTTCATAGGTGTTCTTGAAGCGGTATGTTGAAATTGTTAAACACACAGTGTGTTTAGAAGGATTTGACATGCGCGCGCAGCGGCGCCAAGCTCGTATGCCTGGATTGTATGTTTTAAAAGGGGTTCGTGAACAAGTGGTATGTTAGAACAAACATGTAACCGTGTAGTACTTTCTGCAAGTGAACCGATGCGGGACCGATACCAGCCTGGCTGGGGACATTGGGTCAGAATCATATGTGTTTTGCGCAGGTTCCCCGGGAATCGATAAGTCCAGGGGCGGGAGGATGGTAGAAGCTATGTTTTTTTTAGAGGGGAGAATCCATGATGTGCAACCTACGCGGCGCAAAAGGCGGGGATCAATGTATGCGCGCGTGGGATCCGATCGCATGACATCCTACCGTGTGGGGTCATATCTCGTGGGGCTTTACCATGTTGGGCGCCGACGTGACCCCGGCGTGTGGGACCTCATCTGTGCGGGACCCTGACGGTACATTCCCACGGCAGGTGCCACGATCGGGTCCCAGCGAGAACGGGGCCAGAACCACAGAGGACACCCCCAAATCTTGCCGCACAAGGGCAGTTTCAGCAGATACCAAGAGCGTGCCCGAAGCGCGAGCAATGCTCTGTGGGACACGTGTGTGCACATGCACCCGCGTGCTGGGCGCTGGCCGAAGTGTCAGTCGATGTCCACTGTCTTCGGGATGCAATGGTCGGATCGTCGTGGAGGTCGAAAATCATGGACGCTTTGCGTATCCCCATTTGCTTGAGTCTTGGTTCAGCTTTGATTTGTTGCTCGACGTTCAGCATGCTCTCGCCACTGCGGTCCTGCAAGGATGGGCAAGGCGGCCTGAAGGCGGAGCATTGGGACTACGTGGTCCCCATCAGCCCGGGCGACTTGGATGCGAAGTGGGCTTCGCAGTTTCCCTTGGAGACGAGGGGGCGCTACATCATCAACCAGAGAGGAGATCGCTTCAAGCTCAAGGGGGTTAACTGGTACGGCGCGAGCGACGTCCACCACGTGGTCGGCGGCCTGGACGTGCAGAGCCTCGACGTCATCTGCCGGTCAGTGCTGGACCTTGGCTTCTCCACGGTGCGGCTGCCGTTCTCCAACGAGATGTTGCGCAGCCAGGTCGGCAAAGGAGCCATCAGCTTCAGGTACAACCCGCAGTTGGAAGGGCTCTCTGCCCTCGAGGTGTACGACGAGGTGGTACGCTGCCTGGGGAAGCATGGCGTAGCAGTGATCGTCAACAACCACACCACCTACGGCGAATTCTGCGGCCCTCCCAGCAAGAACAGCCTGTGGTTCGATCCCGGCTCGCAGCACACCGAGGAGCAGTGGATCAGCGACTGGGCGATGATGGCGCTGCGCTATCGCGACTGCCCGCACGTGGTCGGGTACGACCTCCGCAACGAGGTCCGCCCGCGCTGGGGCTTCACGCCCAAGTTTGGCACGAACGGTCGAGGTGGGCGCAGGAGCTCCCAGTGCGACTGGGCGCGCGCGGCCCACCGGGCGGCGGGCAGGCTCCTGCGCGTGCATCCCGCGGCGCTGATCGTGGTGGAGCGCATCGCGTGGCCGCAGCGGCCGCTCGCGGCCTACGCAGCGAGCCCGGGGCCGCTGCTGCCCGGGCTCGGGGGGCGGCTGGTCCTCGACTAGACGTAAGAAGTGACCTTTCGCCGGAGTGACCTGTGGTGCGGGCCCACGGGGGTCCACCAATCGCCGAGCGCTGTGCGACGGTAGCGTCTTGCGCGCTCGTGTTTGGTCCCTGCGCGGCCCCCCAAGAGCCGCGCACCAAAGGTCACTCTTGCCCAGGGTCACTCCTGCGTGTAGCCGAGGTGCTCGCGGTGCACCACTACCAGTGGAGCGGTCCGGGACGCTTCCTGCCGAGCTGGTCGGTGCCGCGCCGCTGGGGCTGGGCTCTGCGGCTGCTGCGGTTCCTCGGCGCGGTCTCGAAGGACAACTACGGGGACATGGACAGGAAGCGCCTGCGGGAGCAGCTCCAGAGCGAGTGGGGGGACATCCTCGACTCCGGCACCTGCCCCGTCTGGGTCAGCGAGTTCGGTGCGGACCTCTCCAATCCGGGGGAGGTGGGCTGGCTTCGGGACTTCACCAGCCTGCTGGCTGAGAAGGACGTGGACTGGGCCTACTGGCCCCTCAACGTGGGGCCGAAGCCTGGCTGTGGGGAGGACGAGGCCTACGGGGTGCTGGACGCGAGGTGGAGGCCCAAGGCGAACAGCGACTTGCGCCTGGACCTCCTGCGGGCGGCCGGGTTGACGCCCGCGGAGCGCCGCGGCGAGGAGGCGGCGGCCGGCGCCGGGGCCCCGGTCTCCGAGCCTTGCCCGAGCGGCGCCTTACTACCGCATGCCGTCTCTGAGGGGTAACGCGCTCGACAAGTGCACCGAGGGGCACGCCCGAGGGCTCCGCTCCGGCTGCCTCCTCGGGTCTGCTGTCGCACCTGCGGCACCTGCCGAGGGAGGTGCCGAGGGGGCCTGCGCAGGGTGTTCTCGGTGCAGGGGTCGCGGCCGCCATATATGGCGTCCGCGACGCTGGCTGTCCGGCCGGGCCCTCCACAAGAACAGCTCCACGGGCGGCTCCTCGAGCCCCGTGGCGGAACACGCAGCCGCCCGCGCCGTCTGCCCGCCGCCGAGGCCCCTGCTGCACGCCGAGGACGCCTCTTGGAGCTGGCCGGCGCCGTGAGCCCGAGGAGGTTTCCCCAGCGAGCGGGGCGCACGCCCCTCTGCGGAGGGCGCACGCCGCGCCGAGGGCACACGCCGCCCGCACTGAGAACGGTAGTAGGTGCAGCCACGCGTTTGAACTCGATCCGGCTAGATTTTTTTTAGTGGACGTTGCGCCATGCTCGGGGGCGCACACGAGCTCGCGTTTGAGGGAGCTGTCCAAGCGAGGCACCGTCTTGCATCCGCCCAACGCCGTTACAGCGTGTACTTTTAGTTAACAGTGTAGTTAAGTCGCATGGTACGCAAATACATGTTCATCACGTTGAAGATGACGTGCTCACGGTTGAAGATGACCGTTAGCCGTTTTTTGTCGGATCGGCCCTTCCGCCTGCGCGAATGTATGAGCCGTAATGCTGGCAGTAGCAGGTTGCATGCTCCCGTGCAGTTACGGGCACGGGCAGATCTGTCCGGTCGCAGGCCATGTTTCCAGCGTGGCATGCAGGCCGAGAGAGATGCACGGATGCACGGAACAGTTTGCCCAGGGACGGCTAGCTTGCGTCGCGCCACAAAAAAAACCTGTCGGTCCTCATGCTGGGCTCCCTAGCCGCTAGCCTTCCTTGTGGCGCGTGCTGCTCGCACCCACCCTGCTGGCACCCTCATTGACACCTGTTTCGACGGTGTCTGGCGATCCGGGCTTGCTCCGTTGAGCGCCCGCATGGCGTTGGTCGACATCCACCGAGGCGCGGATACGGCTGTCACTCGCATCCGCGGTGCCTGGCCTGGCCCGGGGCTCGCTGTGCGTCCTGCTGGTGGTTCTCCTTGACGTGTACGTGATGTCGGTCAACTCGATTTCCGCCATTTTGGTGTTGCACTTCGCTTGGAAAATCTTCCTGGTGTGCGCCCTCTTTTGAGCGGCAGCGAGGCTCGCCTCCTGTTAGTTCCTCTCCCCGCTGTTCTTGTCTCTTTTCGTTTCTCCTTCTCCTTCCGCGCGTAGTTTTAGGCCGTTGCCCGCGTGCTACACTCCTGGACGCCCCCCGACTGTCTCGGTGCGGTCGCGATCGAAAAAGTATCCCCGCTTGCTAGCGCGTAGCCCGCCCGTCCTGCGCGGCTTTCGAGTTGCTTCGCGGGCCCGCGTACCAACGACAACAAGTCCCCACTTGCTCATCCCCAGTGGAGTGCATCAGCGAACAATGAAACAGCGAGGGGAGGGCATACGTAACATCGAAGCTGGGGACCAGCCGGAACATGGGCAGGAGTCAATTCTGATCGGACCTTTCGGTATGGTAGGTTCTTGGCAGCTCGTTTGGGCAGTCGTGAGGCTATTGTAGAGCCTGCTCTCTTGGGGCCCTCGTGGGACTCCTTCGGAGTAAATATGCTCCTATCCGCCTCATATTCAATTAGAACTTAACTTAGTTTGCATTCGTTGCGCTGTCCGCTGGAACTAACAGCTGCGTTCCGCAGCTGTATGGATGCTCGAACAAGCCAGCCTTTGCTTGCAGGAGAGAAAAGGAGCGCGCCAGCCCTCGGCCGTCGCGCGTCGTCGGTCGTAGGCCAGCCGGCCTCCTCCCTTCACATTCCTGATCGAGTAATCTTGCTTAACGGATACTTGTCTTATCGATGTCTCATCCCGTCCCCTCTTTCTCTGAGCAGAGTGAACATGAGATCTTAATTCCTTTGTCATCTTACCCCGATTCTCAGAGGAAAGACTGGTTACCAGCCGAAGCGCGCGACTTAGTCGACGCGGGGCCATCGCATCCAAAAGAGGAACTTTCAAATGTGCCCCGCGACTCAGTCGCTGCGGGAATGAGCTATGATAAGACTGACATCGTGCCCAACGTCTCGAGAAGCGCCGATGGGCGCGTTGTGCAACATGATGGACACGACACGAACCAGAGCGGTCCAATCCAGGATCGCGCCCCTCCTTCACATATCGCCACCCGGGTAGCTCGGGGCAGAAGTACCGAGGGAGGATCAGAGATGTCGGTAGACGTCTCTCCGGGAGTTCCGATTGGTAATCGAGAGCAGACCCCAGACCCGTATGGGCGAGATGGCGTGACAGCGAGAACGAGACGAAGTGTGTTTTCGTCATGGAGTGCCAAATCGACGGAGTCAATCAGCCCAATTCCGAACGCTACACATGCTATCGCTACAGCCGCTGGTGAGGCCAGCTGGCCAGGGGAAGTCCAAGAGAACGTAGGTGTACCCCAGCATCCCAAATGAGTGGGCGGGTACGAGTACGAACGTTCTCATCCCAATAGCATTAAACTGACAGTTCGGTCAGGACAGTGACGATCCCATTGATAAAGAACATGAGATCAACTCCATGGAGGAATATTTTGGTAATATCAATGACGAAATCTCCTTGAGCCGAGCGTTGTCCGTGATGATGGAAGAAGACATCCCCGCTCAAGACGAGAGGTGGTCTCCAGATGGATCTGATGAGGATACTAGTATCCTGACGCCTCAGGCGGACAGGGCGGAGGCCCAGACGAAGCGCGAGGGGGAGTCCACAGAGCGAACCCCTGCACCTCGCCTCAAGAAACAAAGGAAAGAGGACTACGAACTAAACGTCTCGCCACTGAAAGAAGGTTTCTTCCGTGCTGCCGCCACCTCAGGTGACTGGCAACCCTCGATTCCAGCTGTTGTTGAGGATGAAGAAATGATTGGGCAACCGGCTTCATAGAATCAGTTGGTAACACAAGACGAGAAGGATGTGGAGATTTTAAATGTGCCTAAGCCACCAGAAAATACCCTCGTTCGCCCCAGATCAAACGCTTCAAGCAGGGAAGTCCCAAGATGCCAAGATCAGGGGCGAGATCTACTCCAAGGAGCAACAGTGCCGTCTCCATGGCGGAGGCCTGTTGGAACCCTAACCCTAACTGCGCGCCGCGGGCGGGGGGCAGATGCCCAGGAAAAGCCAGCGGGCCAGAAGGCGCATGTAGGAGTCCAGTATGCAAGAGTTGCTCGGACGTATGCCATAAGTGTAACAGACAGTGGCTGCGTGCAGAGTGTTACCCAATGGGCGAGCATAATTGCAAGTATCTCCTCATGCAATCTATCCAGGACCAGGCTAGACTGGCGGAGGCTAACACCCAGAGAGAGTTTCTGATCAATGAGGCGCAGCTGGCTGAAAAGGGCCCGACTGGACAGAGAAGAGATGACTGAAACCATGGCTGAAGTTCGGGAAACATTCGAGGCTGAGCGGATCGCCCTAGCCATGGCTGCTAGGGGGCGAGAACAAGAGCTGATAGAACAATTGCATAATCAGACCGCCGCCGTTAAGCGGCAGGCGGAGATGGAAGCCGAACATAAATACATAGAATTACTGACCTCTGAGAGACAGGCCGTCGCGATGGCAACCGATAAATCTATTGACGCCAATGCGGTCGCCGCTGCCGTTGCGGTGGCCAGAGTAGAAGGATAACAAATCGCTACAGTCAGGGCGGAACGAGAAAAGCAGAGCTTACAGGAAGAGCTTAAAGACGCCAGGCTGGAAGCAGTTAACACCCAAGCTGTAGCTGCGAAAATAACCGACCAGAACAATCTTTATCTGGAAGAACTCAGATCGCATGAAGAAGCTAGATCTTCCCTCCAGCGCATAAAATCGAACAATGCTAAATGCCAGCCGGCTAAGCCGACTGGAACGAACGTACATCAGTTGTCGACGGCTCAGTCGTCCGGCACCGTGCCCATTCCAACGCAGTTTGGTCCGACGAACTTAGCAAATGCGGGGGCGTCGACCCTGCTGGTAAGAAATGCGACGCATCCTCCTCCCGAGGAGAAGGGAAATACATTCTCCGTGGCCCAGTTCTGCGCAGTCTGCTTTCGTCCGAAGACGACGGACAATTGCGTCGGATGTGGTAGGTCGGCATGTGAAGAGCATACCGATGTAAGCACTAGAGGATGCTCTAAATGTGACTTGTGGAAGAGTGAAAGGTCAGCTGCGAACATGCGAGAAGGAGAGGCCATTTCGAACGCAGCTAATATAGAAAAAAGAATGATGAGGCTTAAGGCTATCACCACCGACCCGACTCCATATGATGAGAATAAACGAGAAGCCGGAATCACATCGAGTTCATTCGGCTTACCGTTGCTTTCGCAAGAAACTCCCGTGAGGCCATTGTTGCGTCAGCACTTTACTGTCCCAGGCCCTGCCCTAGAAGGTCCGGCCAAGCCGAGCACCACCGAGAGTGGTTTTCCCAGTAAGGTAACGCTCTCGCCAATTACCGCCCATCCTATAGAGACGGCCCCACGGGAACGACGGCGACTAAGTCGTCGGGCGAGGCAGGACAGGGCGGAGGAGGGGGCGACAAGAGCGACGCTCCGAACACCGAGATTATCTTAACGCGAAGATGATCATGATAAAAGACCACGTGGGTCGCCTCCGGGAGCCCAGGGGGTTCGGATCCCTCTGACGGTGGAGGCGGCCGCAGGGGGCCTCAGGGCCCTGGCGGACCGCAGGGCCCAGTAGTAATTGAAGGAAGCACGCCGTTGGATCAATGGAGACAGGTAGGTAACAACCAGAAAATTGATTTGTTGGACATCCCTGATGTTACGAACATTCGGGAGTGGCAAGTGCACGCAGCACGTGCGATCGCTGGGCCATCGCCCGAGAGCCAGGCGGCACAGTATTGGATTACTGAGGCTATGAACCCAGCTGTGGAAGATGAGCAGCTGAAAGATGCAGGGCGGTTCCAGCGTCTCGA